AAGGCTAGACAGTGGGAGAAGAGTTAAAAGAGACACATTAGCTCAGGTAGGAGATAATATTATTAGACTTAAGGTAGTACCAATAGAGATGGAGACATGTGGACAAATTTGGAACATATTTAGAAGGTAAAGTTTCTAGGATGTTTTCAGTGCTGGTTATAGAACACTGTGAGAAAGGACAGGCCTAGAAATCTAACTTGGAGCAATAGTATACACAGTTAGGGAAAACTGTATAATGGGTATCATCAACTCTTTTGACAAATATTAGATACACAAGACAGTATTATTTACTATAGTCACCATGCCATATATAAGATCTTCAGAGAGTTCAGTTATGTGGGATGAATAAGCTCTGGGTAACTAATGCTATTTTTCTCACTAAATTATTTCAGTTTTGTTTTATTCTGTTATTTGTCAAAAATATGCTACTTATATTAATATGCAATGGGCTTATTATTGTTATTTTATTTTTAAAAATTTTTAATGTTTATTTATTTTTGAGAGAGAGAGAGAGATAGAGCACAAGTGGGAAAGAGGCAGAGAGAGACAGAGACACAGAATCTGAAGCAGGCTACAGGCTCTGAGCTGTCAGCACAAAGCCCCATGCAGGGCTCTAACTCATGAACTGTGAGACCATGACCTGAACCAAAGTCAGATGCTTGAGTGACTGAGCCACCTAGGTGCCCCTTATTATTGTTATTTTAATGAATTAATAGGTAAGCAACATGACCTAGTTTTAATCTATAATATGGTAAATATCAATAATGTCCATAAATAAATGACCTGTGGGGTTCTCAATAATTGTTAAGAGTTTAAAGGAATCTTAAGGCCAAAATATTTCAGAAATGTTATAACAGATGTTTCTTTTATTAAGATATAAAAATAATGAAGTAATAAAAGAATACAACCTCTTCCTATACCTTATTAACACAAGTCATTTCTTGGTATTTTGAAGTTTTCCAAAAAGGAGTAGATCTTTCCCTAGAAATTCACATATATATTACAGAAGTTTTATTAAGCACTAATTTGTAGACACCAAGAATAACCATCTACATTATTTATTATGTGATGTCTTTTTTATAACACATATGGAATGTGTACTTTCTATGCATCTGGTATTCTTTTATGCAAGGCATAGACTCTGTTCATTTTCTCATATGTTGACAGTATGGATTTGGTGGTGAGAACTCCTAGGCAGAGAGAAAAGCAAATGCAGAGACTCTTAAAGATGCCAAACTCCCCAATCTAATAGAATTGAAACTGAACTTTTATCTCTATTTCTTGACATATTTACCCAGATAAATGCAATAGCTTAATGGTTGTTCCCCTTGTCTCTCTAACTCTTCCTGCTATTGTTTTTAAAATGCAAATCTGCTTACCATTCTGCTTATAACGTCAACATCTTCCATTGTTATTAGAAAAATTAATACTATTTTATGGAGACTATGGATTTGGCCTTTACTTATTTACCATACACTGCACATTATATTTTCCTCCTTCTGTATTCCATTAAAGAAATGGATGTAAGGATGAAGAATTCAGTAGATTTATAGAACTGAGATAAACACCAGATAGCGGTAGCAGAAAGAATAAAAAGTGTGGCAGGAGACTAGACTGTGAGTTAGGCATAGAGTTAGCTGAGAAGGTGTAAATAGACCAAGCCAAAGAATAGAAACTGTACCTTTAGAGTAAAGGGAAATCAATGAAGAATTTACCCAGGGAAGTAACATAATCACATTTGTATTTTAAGATATTCAGTCTGGCTATGATATAGAGAATGAATTAGGGAAGAGTCGATAAAGGAAAAGCAAGTAAGAAATGTTGCAGCAATCCAGGTAAGAAATCATCAAGCACCACAGTACAATTGGCAAGAAAAGTGAATAATATCATGAGATATATAGAAGAAAGAAATTTCATGACTTGGATTTTTCATGATTTGGTATCTATTGTATTTGCGGCTTTAACAACAGTCAGGAAGGAATGAAGATCACTTCCTGGTTTGACTTCTGAAGAATTAAGTGTACGATAGTTCTATTTAATCAGATAAAGAATACTTTATAAGGAACAGGCTTAAAGGGAGGAATTAATTAATTGAATTTTGAAGATATTGAGCTCCAGTTGACTATGTAACACATAGAGTGTGTAGCAGTTAAGGACTCAAGCTCAGAAATAGGTCAGCCCGAGATGAATCTAGATTATATTCAGATTACTAGCTATGTATTTAGGAAAGTTTTTTTTACCTCTATAAGTTCCTACTTTATCATCTGTCAAACAGGGATAAATAATAATACCTCCTAATGCATTAATAGAGGAATAAATGTAATAAGGTACCATATATTATGTAAAGAATTTGGTATAATATATGGCATTTAGTAAATGATCAATAATTGTGAAGTATTATTATTATCATGATTCTCATTAAAAAGTGTAGTTAATTAGACATTTGAAGCTTGGAAAAAGAAGGACATGGTGTGGAAATAAATTCATGACCTGGAATTGTATATTAAACCAATACCAGGGCAAGACTAGTCTCTCACTTATCTCTCTCAAAGAAAACTTAGAACTGGAGTCATAAACTCAAATCCCTGTGGAGGCCACTCAGTAAGGTCAAGGGGTAAAGAAAAATTGTGGAGCACAAATAGCAAGTGGTAGAGTATGATCTGTGGCAAACACTATTTTAGTTCAATTTTTAAACAAGCCACAGTTACATGAATGACATAAACCATTATTCTACAAGCTCTGTCTGGTGGACCACCAGTTTGCACATCTGGCCTATCAGTATCCTCAAACAGCCAATTTCTATCAATTTGCTCTTTTTCCTTTATATCCTGGAAAACATAGCATAAGGCTTTAGATCAAAGGCAGTGGCCCCCAAAAAGACTGGAGCCCAGTCCTCATGTCTGCGATTTTAGTAGTCACTCACTTTCTCCAGGAAGAAATGCAGGCTTCCCAACACCTTGACTTAGCTCAGTAAAACTCATATTAAATCTCTAACCTATAGAATTGTAAGATAATAAATGTGTGTTATTGTAAGCCATTAGGTTTATGATGATTGTTACACAGCAATAAAAATACCTAATACAGTGTCCTGACATACAACATGCCACGGGCAAAGGATTAGGTGTAAGTAACAGTGTGGTATCTATATTACACTGTTGGAGTGCAAACCAGAGAATTAACAGATAAAGTAGTAGACAAAAGCAGGTATTGAATAATGGAAAACCTTTGTGTAAATGTGGAGCCTTCCCTTGCCACTCCCTTGTAACTTATTGGACATCTATTGAAGGATTTTAAGTGTGGTGACATTTAAATTTTAAAAAGATCTTTTAAACAGTTAATCTCAATGCACGAAATGATAGGATAATCCAAGGGAAATTTTAAATCTGAACTAGAAAAGCTAGCAGGAGAATCAATGAGTTAAAAAAAAAAAAAACAAACATTTAAGATATATTAATAATTGATGAATTACTGAATAATGCATTGATGAATTATTGATGAATTGATGAATAAGCCTCCTTGTAAATATATATTTACTTCCATGTCTACAACCAAGTATTATTGTCTGGCAAATGAAGGCAATGCTACCTTTCTAATCATGGCTGATGAACAGTATGCCAGCCTCCTATTTCAACATGCTTGTCTTTGTATTTCATTATTTTATTTCATTTCATTTCATTTCATTTCATTTCATTTTTTTATTTTTGAGAGAGAGAATGTGTGTGTGCATGTAAATGAGCAGGAGGGGCGCAGAAAGAGAGGGGGGAGGGACAGAGGGAGGAGTAGAAAGGGAATCCCAAGTAGGCTTCATGCCCAACTCAAAACCCAACATGGGGCTTGATCTCACAACCATGGATATGACCTGAGCCAAAATCAAGAGTCAGACACTTAATTGAATGAGCCACCCAGGCACACCTCAACATGTCTTTGAGTATTCAGTCACATATGTATACCCCTTCATTGTTTAGTGGCATATATGAATTTCTTATAAATTATATTCATTTTATAAAAATAACAAAAAGCAACAGAAATGATTTTAGTTTGTCTCTGCCCATTCCCAGAATCACTTCATTGTGGGATTATTGATGCAATCTCCTACTGATCCCTTTTACATCTCTCTCAATATTAATCCATCTCGCTCATGCCTTCAGACATGCCATTTATAACATTTGATTTATTGTGTTAAGTGTTTGTTGTAGAGACTAAATTATCTCCCAAGTATCTTTTGGAGTTAGACTTTTGAAGGCTTTTCTTTTTTTATTTAATTTTATTTTAATTTTTTAAATGTTTTTTAATTTCTTTTTATTTTTTAGAGAGAGATAGAGACAGCATGAGCAGGGGAGGGTCAGAGAGAGAGGAAGATACAGAATCTGAAAACAGGCTCCAGGATCTGAGCTGTCAACACAGAGCCTGAAGCAGGGCTCGAACCCACAAACCCTGAGATCATGACCTGAGCTGAAGTTGGATGCTTAACCAACTTAGCCACCCAGGCACCCCTCAAGGCTTTTCTAAGTACTCCAAAATCTGGTTCTTTCACAGTGTTCAAAATTATCCTTCACTATTCGCCAAATTGTACTCTTTATTCTGGTCAGACTAATAGCCCTCATAGCTGCTGTGTGCCTTGCTAGTTTAATTATCCTTGATAGTATAGTGAGTGTACATTTTAAATATGTGAATTTAATAAATGCTGCTTGAATAATAATCACAAAGTGTGTAATTTTATCCACGATTTAAGGCATGACTCAAACCCAACACCTCCATTATATAGTGTTTCGTTTCAATCGCTCAAAATATTAGTTAATCATCTATGAATCGTATCATATATCAACTGATTATTTCACCTTTCTTGTTGAATATTGTTTTCCTGACTTTCTTATAAATTCTGTATTGCACAGCTTTTCACTCTCCCACAGTCCTCCACTAGATAGTGACCCCTGTGGCACTAAAATAGCTGCCAATTAATACTTATTGGTTGATAATTTATTACTTCAATATTCAAATTTTTATCTCCTACATATGTTAAACAACTTTCCCAAGACCTTTTCCCAAATTTGTCGAGTTTTTACACAATATACAATGGGGTTGATTAGGGGTGACAACAACAAGAATATATCTGCAACAAGAAGGCTTTTGTGCTTGGCGAAGTGGTGCATGGCAGCCAGGTGATGATGGGTACATAGAAAATGAGCATAGCACAGATGTGGGAGACACAGTTCTTGAGGGCCCTGAGTCTCTCTGCTAGAGATGCGATGCTGAGTACAGTCTTCAAGATCAGTATATATGACATAAAAACTAATGCCAAGTCCAGCATAGTACAGAGAGCAACAAAGAAGCATAGATAACATTGATCTTGTTGTCAGAGCAGGCCAACTTCATGGGATCCTGATGCAGACAGTATGAGTGAGAAAGGAGATTCTTCTGACAATACTTTAATCTCCTTAGAGTGAAAGGAAATGGAAGCACTAAGAGAATGCTCCTGGTGGCTAAGATCAGTCCCATTTTAGCAACTCTGTTGCTAGTGAGGAGAGCAGTATATCTTGGGGGATTGTGAATGGCAAGAAAGTGATCCAAAGACATAACTAGAAGCACTGAGGATTCCATGACAGTGAATCCATGGATGAAGAATTCTTGAGCAAAGCAGACATTGGGTGAAATTCCCATGGAATTGAACAAGAAGATTCTCAGCATGGTAGGAAGGGAGGAAAATGAAAGGCCCAAGTCAGAGATGGCCAAGAGAGCAAGGAAATAATTCTTGAATAAACTCTAAGTAGATTCAAACATTGGCTTTTCAGGTTTCATACAAATCTTATGATTGTTTATTCTAGCTCTGTGAAGAATGCAGGTGTTATTTTGAGAGGGGTTGCATTGAATAAGTAAATTGCTTTGGATAGTAATGACATTTTAATAGTGTTTGTTCTTCCAATCCATGAGAATGGAATGTTTTCCATTTTGTGTGTGTGTGTGTGTCTTCTTCAATTTATTTCATAAGCTTTCTGTAGTTTTCAGTGTATAGATTTTTCACCTCTTTGGTTGGGTTTATTCCTAGTTATTTTATGGTTTTCGGTGCAATTGTAAATGGGATAGATTCCTTGATTTCTCTCTCTGCTTATTCTTTATTCATATCTAGAAATACAACTGATTTCTGTACATTGACTTTATATCTTACAACTTTGCTGAATTCCTGGATCAGCTATCACAGGCTTTTTGGTGGAGTCTTTGGGTTTTCCACATAGAGTATCATGTCATCTGTGAAGAGTGAGAGTTTGACTTCCACCCTGCTGATTTAGAGCATTTTTATTTCTTTGACAAAGCAATCCTGAAAAAAGAAAACCAAAGCTAGAGGCATCACAATTTTCCACTTCAAGCTGTATTACAAATCTGTAATCATCAAGACAGTATGGTACTGGCACAAAAACAGACACTCAGGTCAATGGAACAGAATAGAGAACCCAGAAATGGACCCACAAACATGTGGCCAACTAATCTTTGACAAAGTAGGAAAGAGCGTCCAATGGAAAAAAAGACAGTCTCTTTAGAAAATGATGTTGGCAAAACTGGACAGGAACATGCAGAAGATTGAGCCTGGAACACTTTCTTACACCATACACAAAAATAAATTCAAAATGGATAAAATTCCTAAATGTGAAGCAGGAAACCATCAAAATCCTAGAGGAGAAAACAGGCAACAACCTCTTTGACCTTGGCCACAGCAACCTCTTACTCAACACATTTCCAGAGGCAAAGGAAACAAAAGCAAAAATGAACTATTGGGACCTCATCGAGATAAAAAGCTTCTGCACAGCAAGGGAAACAGTCAGCAAAACTAAAAGGCAATTGAGATGACATGATACTCTACATAGAAAACCCGACAGACTCCACCAGAAGCCTACTAGAACTGATCCAAGAATTCAGCCAAGTTGCAGGGTACAAAATCAACGTACAGAAATCGGTTGCATTTTTATACACCAATAATGAAGCAACAGAAAGAGAAATCAAGAAACTGATCCCATTCACAATTGCACAAAAAACCATAAAATACCTCGGAATAAACCTAACCAACGATACAAGAGATCTGTATGATGAAAACTATAGAAAACTTATGAAGGAAATTGAAGAAGACACAAAGAAATGGAAAAACATTCCATGCTCATGGATAGGAAGAATAAATATAGTTAAGATGTCATTACTACCTAAAGCACTCTACACATTCAATGCAATTCCAATCAAAATTGCACCAGCATACTTCTCAAAACTAGAACAAACTATCCAAAAATTTGTATGGAACCACAAAAGACCCCGAATAGCCAAAGTAATACTGAAAAATAAAACCAAAACGGGAGGGATCACCATCCCAGACTTCAGCCTCTACTACAAAGCTGTCATCCTCAAGACAGTACGGTATTGGCACAAAAACAGACACATAGACCAATGGAACCGAATTGAGAACTCAGAAGTGGACCCAAAAGTATACAGCCAACTGATCTTTGACAAAGCAGGAAAGAATATCCAATGGAAAAAAGACAGCCTTTTTAACAGATGGTTTTGGGAGAACTGGACAGCAACATGCAGAAGAATGAAACTAGATCATTTTCTCACACCATGCACAAAAATAAACTCAAAATGGATAAAGGACCTGAACGTGAGACAGGAAACTATCAACACCCTAGAGGAGAAAGCAGGAAACAACCTCCTTGACCTCCACAGCAGCAACTTCTTACTTGACACATCCCCAAAAGCAAGGGAATCAAGAGCAAAAATAAACTGTTGGGACCTCATCAAGATTAAAAGCTTCTGCACAGCCAAGGAAACAACCCAGAAAATTAATAGGCAACCAACGGAATGGGAAAAGATAGTTGCAAATGACATATCAGATAAAGGGTTAATATCCAGAATCTATAAGGAACTCACCAAACTCCACGCCCGAAAAACAAACAACCCAGTGAAGAAATGGGCAGAAGACATGAACAGACACTTCTCCAAAGAGGACATCCAGATGGCCAACAGACACATGAAACGATGCTCAGCATCCCTCCTAATCAGGGAAATACAAATCAAAACCACACTGAGATACCACCTCACGCCAGTCAGAGTGGCTAAAATGAGCAAATCAGAGAACTCTAGATGCTGGCGAGGATGTGGAGAAACGGGCACCCTCCTACACTGTTGGTGGGAATGTAAACTGGTACAGCCCCTCTGGAAAACAGTGTGGAGGTTCCTCAGGAAACTAACAATAGAACTCCCTTATGACCCAGCAATAGCACTGCTAGGAATTTACCCAAGGGATACAGAAATGCTGAGGCATAGGAGCACATGTACCCCAATGTTCATAGCAGCACTCTCCACAATAGCTAAAACATGGAAAGAGCCTAAGTGTCCATCAACAGATGAATGGATCAAGAAGATGTGGTTTATCTATACCATGGAATACTACATGGCAATGAGAAACAATGAAATCCGACCATGTGTAGCAACATGGATGGACCTTGAGGGTGTTATGCTGAGCGAAATAAGTCAGGCAGAGAAGGACAAATATCATATGTTTGCACGTATAGGAGGATTAGGAGGAACTTGACGGAGGAACAAGGGGGAGAAGAAGGGCGGAAATGGTGGGGGAAAGGGAGAGAGGCAAACCATGAGAGACTCTTGAATGGTGACAAAAACTGAAGACTGATGGATGTGGGGGGAAGGGGGTGATGGGCATGGAGGAGGGCACTTTGGGGATGAGCACTGAGTGTTATGTGGAAACTAATTTGACAATAAAATATTTGTAAAAAAAAACAAAAAAAAAAACAAAAAAAAACTGTATACTAGCTTAGTCTTCAGATTTCAGTTTTGTGTATCCATAAAATTATAAAGGTAATTGTGCCTAAAGGTAATTGAAACCACATTAAAAGTTTTTTTGTGATAATTAAATGATGCAATAAACATAATGTGTTGGAAACATGAAAAAAAAAAAAACAACTAAAAGGCAATTGACAGATTCGGAGAAGATATTTGTAAATGACATATCAGATAAAGGGTTAGTATACAAAATTTATAAATAACTTATCAAACTCAACATGCAAAAAAACCAAATAATCCAGTGAAGAAATGAGCAAAATACAAAAATGGACACTTTTCCAAAGAAGACATCCAGATGGTTAACAGACAGATGAAAAATGCTCGATATCACTCATCATCAAGGAAACACAAATCAAAACCACAATGAGATACCACCTCACACCTGTCAGAATGGCTAACATTAACAACTCAGGCAACAACAGATATTAGCAAGGATGCAGAGAAAGAGGAACTCTTTTTGCACTGTTGGTGGAAATGCAAACTGCTGCAGCCACTCTAGAAAACAGTATGGAAGTTCCTCACAAAGTTAAAATAGAACTATTCTACAAGCCAGAAATTGCACTACTAGGTATTTATTCAAAAGAGACAGAAGTGCTGTTTTGAAGGGGCACTTGCACCCCCAACGTTTATAGCACCAGTACCAACAATAGCCAAAGTATGGAAGGAGCCCAAATGTCCATTGACTGATGAATGAATAAGGAAGATGTGGTATATAAATATATACAATAGAATATTACTCAGAGATCAAAAAGAATGAAATCTTGCCATTTGTAACAACATGGATAGAACTAGAGTGTGTTATGCTAAGCAAAATTAGTCAGTCATAGAAAGACAAATATCATATGATTTCACTTATATGTGGTATTTAAGATACAAAACAGATGAACATAATGGCAGGGAAGCAAAAATAATACAAACGGAGAGGGGAAAAAACCATAAGAGACTCTTAAGTACAGAAAACAAACTGAGGGTTGCTAGAGGGGTTTTAGGTGGGGCGATGGGCTAAATGGGTAAGGGGCATTAAGGAGGACACTTGTTGGGATGAGCACTGGGTGTTATATGTAAGTGATGAATCATTAAATTCTACTACTGAAATCATTGTTACACTATATATTAGCTAACTTATATGTAAATTTTAAAATAAATTAATAAATTTTTAAAAAATGGATTCAAACTAGTAACTTCTGAAAGAGATGGATGTTGGAGGAGTTTGTTTTTATGGAGACTGTAAGTAAATGTATTTTATGTGTTAAAGAACATACCCATTAATATTTTTGAAACAGATAAATAATGTTAATAGGAATCTATTTTCTCAGCATTCCTGGCTGGCTCAGTCAGTCAAGTGGCCAACTTCAGCTCAGGTCATGATCTCACGGTATGTGGGTTTGATCACTGCATCAGACTTTGTGCTGACAGCTCAGAGCCTGGAGCCTGCCTCTGATTCTGTGTCTCCATCTTGTTTTTTCTCTCTGACCCTCCCCTGCTCATGTTCTCTCTATCTCTGAAAAATAAACATTAAAAGACAAGAAATTTATTTTATCTTGTTAAAATGTCTGTATTATCCAAATACAATCTACACTTTAATGCAATTCCTATCAAAATACCAACAGCATTTTTCACAGAGCTAAAACAAATAATCCTAAAACTTGAATGGATCCACAAAACACCATAATAGCCAAAGCAACCTTGAAAAAGAAAAGCAAAGTAAATGACATCACAATTCTAGACTTCAAGTTACATTACAAAGCTGTTGTGATGGTACTGGCACAATATCAAAAATGAAACTTTGGGACTTCATCAAAATAAAAAGCTTCTGCACAGTGAAGGAAATAATAAAATTAAAAGCCATCTTATGGAATAGGAGAAGAGATTTGGAAATAGCATATCTAACAAAGGATTAGTATCCAAAATCTATAAGGAATTTATCAAACTCAACACCCAAAAGCCAAAAGAGAATATGGTACTGGCACAATAATAGACACACAGATCAACAGAACAGAATGAAAATCTAGACATAAAGCCATAATTATATGGTCAATTATTCTTTGACAAAAAAGGGAAAATATCCAATAGAAAAGACAGTGTCTTCAAGAAATGGTATTGGAAAACTGGACAGGTACTGGAAAGCTGGACCACTTCCTTACCCCATACACAAAGATAAATTCAAAATGGATTAAAGCCCTAAATGTGAGACAGGAAACTATCAAAATCCTAGAAGAGAACACAGCCAGTAACCTCTTTGACTTTGGACATGGTCATACCAACTTCTTATTAGACATGATGAAGCAAAAAAAAATAATAATAATAGCAAAAATGAACTATTGAAGAAAATAAAACTTCTACATAGTGAGGGAAATAGTCAAAAAAATTAAAAGCCATCCTATGGAATTTAAGAAGATATTTGGAAATGATATATCTAATAAAGGATTAGTATCCAAAATCTATAAAGAACTTATCAAACTCAACACCCAAAACCAATTCACCAGAAATGGGCAGAAGAAATGAATAAACATTTTTCCAAAGAAGACATACAGATGGAAGATGCATAAAAAGATGCTCAACATCAAGGGGCGCCTGGGTGGCTTAGTCGGTTAAGCGTCCGACTTTCGCTTAGGTCATGATCTCGCGGTTCATGGGTTCGAGCCCTGCTTCGGGCTCTGTGCTGACTGCGAGCTCAGAGCCTGGAGCCTATTTCAGCGTCTGTGTCTCCCTCTCTTTCTGACCCTCCCTTGCTCACGCTGTCTCTCTCTCTCTCTTCTAGAAATAAATAAAAATATTAAAAAAAGAAAAAATATGCTCAACATCAATTATTATTAGGGGAAATACAAATCAAAACTACAAAGAGATACCACCACACATGAGTAAAATGACTACAATTAACAACACAGTAAACAATAGGTGTTGGCAAAGCAGAGAAATGGGAACCTTTCACACATATGGTGGAAATGCAAACTGGAAAACATTATGGAAGTGCCTCAAAAAGTTAAAAATAGAACGTGTCTACAATCCGGAAATTGCACTGCTAAGTATTTACTCAAAGCATACAAAAATACTGATTTGAAGGTTTACATGCACCCCAATGTTTATAGCAGCACTATCAACTATAGCCAAATTAAAGAAAGAACCTACTGGAGCTCCATCAACTGATGGATGGATAGTTGACCAATGTCCATCAACTGATGAATGGATAAAGAAGATATGGTACAGGGGCACCTGGGTGGCTCAGTCAGTTAAGCATCTGACTTCAGCTCAGGTCATGATCTCACAGTTCACTAGTTTGAGTCCTACATTGCGGCTCAGAGCCTGCAGTGCAGAACCTGGAGCCTCCTTCAGATTCTGTGTCCCCCTCTCTTTTTCTACCCCTCTCCCGCTCATGCTGTCTCTCTTTCTCTCAAAAATAAACATTTAAATAAATAAATAAACAATAAAGAAATTTTAAAGATGTGATATATACATGAAATAAAGTATTATTTCTCAGCCATAAAAAAGAATGAAATCTTGCCATTTGCAACAACATGGATGGAACTAGAGATTATTATGCTGCATGAAATAGGTCAGTCAGAAAAATCAAATATCATATGATTTTACTCATATGTAGAATTTAAGAAACAAAACAAATGATCATAGGGGGAAAAAAAGGAGAAAGAGCAAAACCAAGAAACAGACTCTTAACTGTGGAGAACAAACCGATGGTTACCAGAGGGGAGGTGGGTTGGAGGTTGGATGAAACAGGTGATGGGGATTAAGGAGTGCATTTGTTATTGATGAGCACTCGGTGTTGTATGGAAGTATTGAATCACTAAATGGTACACCAGAAACTAATATTACATTGTATGTTAACTAACTAGAATTTACATTTAAAAAGAAATCTATTTTCTCGTTATTTTTAATAATATAGTTTAGAGATTTATTTTTCCCTAATAGAACATGGAAAAATATTATATACATTAATTTATGTAAAACTGAGAGTGTCCTGGACAAAATAAAAGTCATTATTTTCTATAGGGCAATAAAAAGTAGTAGGTGTAAGAAAGTCTTAATAAACTGAAACCCAGACACATCACAGTCAAATCCTGAAGAAAAAGAGAGAGATATTAAAAGCAGGCAGAGTAAAAAGATAATAGAAATAGAGAAACAATGGTAAACAACACTAAGATAGAAGACAATAGAGTCACATTTTGAAAGTACTGGAAGAATAACTTGCCAACCTGGAATTCAATATTTGTCAAAATTATCTTTCAATAAAGAAGACAAGATCAATACATTTACAGATAAACAAAACCTTAGACAAGTCATAGCCATGAGATCTGCACATAATAAACGAAGGAAGAATGCTCAGAGGGATGAAGGTAAGTAAACACAAAATATTTTTATCTTTTCTTAATTTCTGGACATGATAATTTACTTTTTTTTTCTGAGAGAGAGAGATAGAGTGAGCAGTAAAGGGAGAAAGAGAGAATCTTAAGCAGGCTCCCTGCCCAGCATAGAGCCTGACATAGGGGTCGATCTCACGACCCTTAGATCATGAACTGAGCCAAAACCAAGAGTCAGATACTTAACTGACTGAGCCACCCAGGTGCTCTGATAATTTACTTTTTAAAGTAAAATAATCCCAATGTATGGAGAGATTTGTAATATAGGTAGAAATATGTACTTAGCAATAACTGCATATTATCTTTAAATGAGATAAAATAGAAGTATACTGTTAAAAGTTTCTTACATTACCTATGAAAAAGTATAATATTAACTCAAGGTAGACTCTGGAAATTAAGGTTGCATACCATAGCCCAAAAAGCGAGTATAAAAAACAGAGATCCAAAAATATGGCCAAAAATCCAACTGAGGAAATAAAATAGAATACTGAAACAGTTGAACTTATTTGATTTAAAGACTTTAAAAAATGAGTAAAGCTACATAACAGAAGCAAAAACAGACGGGACGATGAGGGAACAAATAAAACAATGATAGACATAAAACTAAATGTATAAATAATTTCATTAAGTATAATGGGCTAAAGACTCCAATTACAAACAGCACTAGTCAAGGTGGATTAAAAAACTGGTCAACTATAAAAGCTGCATATGAAATACAAAGACACAGATAGGTTAAGAATAAAAAGAAAAATAAATGTCATGCATAACAATATATATGGTGAATGTAGCCATATTATCAGAGCACATGGAATTTAAAGCGAGATATAGATCAAGAAAAAGGAGACATTTTGCAATGATAAAAGAATCAATTCATCAAGAAGCCATAGCAAATTAAATGTTTATTTTTGAGGGGGGGGGGAGAGAGAGAGAGAGAGAGAGAGAGAATCTGAAGCTGCCTCCAGCTCTCAGCACAGAATCCAACATGGGGCTTGAACCCATGAACTGAGAAATCATGACCTGAGTGGAAGCAGGATTCTCAGCTGACTGAGTCACCCACGTGCCCAAAAGGTCATAACAACTTTAATGTTTACACGTGTAATAAGAAAGCTTCAAAATACACAAGGAAAAAGTAACAACTAAAAAGAAAAAGTTAATAATCAGATATAGAGACGTTAGCACATCCTTGATTGTTACTTGGTTTTATACGTTGGTAAAAATCAATTGAGCTGTATACTTCAGGTTTCTGCATCTTTCTACATTTCATTAATAAGGACAGGAAAAACAACTTCATTGATGATAAGAAAAAAGAAGAAACAAAAGAATGGTGGACTTAAAATAATATATCAATTAATTTGGAATTAAATGATGTTTTGGAGCCTCAATCGCTTTCCCTAATCTCTGGAGCAGACTGTCCTTGGTATGAGTAGTTCTCCAAAATCTATGCAACATCCAGTCTCATCTTTTCATGGCCCTGTGGCAACCAAGAAGTTAAAATCATGGTCTTGAAGCAAGCTCTCTTCTGGGAATTTCTAAGAAATTTTTCAGGGAAATAATTTGTTTACAGAAGGTGGTAGAACTGGAGGAATTGGTGTCCCATGAGTACAAACTTCAGAAGATAGCTCAAGGAGTCTGTGATCGATAGATAAAGGTTTAGCTGGGGGCCTAACATGACTTCTCTAGGGTCATGAAAGCTGTATCTTGTTTTTCTTTTTCTGGGAATTCATAACTCTTTCTACTTACAGTTTGAACTGATGTCATTTGAATTCAAGCTTTTTCAATAATACCATGCTTTCTATCTCACATTAATTAATAAGTTAAAAACTGGAATAATCATCAGGAAATTGCACGAGGAAATTCTGCTGGAAGACATATAAAAATTCGTGATACAATAAGCAGTATAAATGTCAAGAAAGCCTAAAACCATGGACTTTATCACATCCTAGCTCCAGTACCTTATAGAGTTACCTCCAGAGCTAGTTTAATCAACACGAGTCATTTCAATTTCATTTCTGACAAAATTGCATCAGATGAGAGATAAAAGGGCAATAGAGATTGTTGGTAGCAAAATCCAGCAAACAGAACCAACTCTGAAACAGTGAAGGTAAAGGTACGTAATCAATACTTGTTTAGCCAGATCAAGAGGAGAGGAGGGAGGATAAGAGATCATTCTTAATAAGCTGAAGGGAGAAAAAGAGAGGTAGGTATTTGAAAAAGAAGGCAAAAAGAAAGCATTGGGAACTATTATTATATATTAAACATTGTGCTAGACAATTTTTACATGTAGATAATTCTGCTTTCAAAATGTTCAACTTTTTTTGTGAACATGAAAATAAATATCTGCAAAGCCTCATAGCCTTATGGATGAGCAGGAGGTAGTAAAATAGCAGAATTACTTTGAAGATTAACTATAGTTGGCAAAGCCCTGAACAGTCTGGAACACAATAAAGCTACCAGCAATAGTTAGCATCAAAGAGTGCCCAATGCATTTGTTTCTCAAGTACAGCAACTTATGTAGAGAAATTAGTGAAATATTTTTTCAGTAAATTGACTGCCTTGATACTGTGTATCAGGAGTGAAGTTAATACTGTAATTGGATTTGAGCAAAGAAACAGCATGACCAAGAGAGCTAGTGTATTCCGGGGGGCCTTTCTGAGGATGTGACTTCTGAGAAAGAGCTGTTAGAGTGAAGGAAACCACAAGTATAGTAGTGAGATGGGAAGGCTGATGGAATGTTTGAAGATCTTTAACAGAAAAATGTTTAGGAGTATAAATGCTTTTCTGAATGAAAGGAATTAGTAACTGTGATATTGTGATTTATAATAAATATGTTTGGCCTTCACTGTTTTTGGCACTGAGTTGCTTTGGAATTTCCTATGGGATGAAAGAGACAAAGTTATCTTTTCTCA